CATTTTTTAAAAGCTATGCTCCTGAACCTGCTCATGCATACCTGAAGCACTTCTTTTGTTATACATTACGACTTCTAGTCTGGTTGGAAAGTTGCCCGTCTGACCTTGCTTGCGGTGAGCCAGGGAGAGAGGGGTCTGCTTTCATGGTTTGAAAACCTTTCCAAGAATTCATAGAGCCCTAAAATAATCCAAGCTACTTACGAAATTACTGTAAGCCATTTGATAATTTCTTCTTGAACTACAATACTGCTTTCACTTTGTGCTAACAGTTTCATGCAGATGGGCAGCTCTTCTTCCTAGCATTGGACACATTCAGGCAGACTGGCATTTCCTTAAGCTGTATGACAATAATTATTTCCCTGGAGCTATTTTAAGAAACATGGTGAGGACAGACATAATCTCTCTCTTGCTGTTATAGGCTTCTACTGTATGAATTGAAAAAAACTGCCTCCAGTGTTAAAAAAGTGTTCCTACTGTTTATAAAAATAAAAGGATTATGTGTATTTTTGCTTGACAGATAGTCTCAAATAAGACTACACCCTTATTTGTATTTTATTAAAGTTAAATTTTGAAGAAAAAGTGTGTGGGCTTTTAATAGCTGGAGCAAAAACATACTATTCTTAAATTTTCTTAGCTGTATAAAAAGAGAACAGCGGTATAATAATAGTAGCCTTCCACAAGTTGGTCTTTCTCAGATGTAGCCTACACTCAGGTCAGGAAGCCTGCACTGCTGTAAAATCAAAGCACAAAAAGAGAGCCATACTTATTTAAATATTAAGGGTTATGGCTGTGTTCATTCAAATGTTCCAATAACTTAACCAATAAGCAGTAAGATTCCATCCATCTTGCCAATAACTGCAGCTAGAATTTTTCAGATTACTTTTTAAACATCTAACAATCCAAACTACAGTGTGAAGAAAAGAGAAACAAGCATATAAACCCTTTTAAGACATTTGATAAAAATGTAAGTTTTTATAAACAAACTCTTCAATGGGGGGTGGAAATGAGGAAACAGGACACAGTGTAATTTGACTTCCAATTTATTTCCCAACTTCAATACTCAGACCTTCATCAAATCATTAAAAATTGTACAATGGTTATCACTTATTTTTTTCCTGTTAAGATCTGGATTCCAGCAATGGCCAAACCCCAAACTCGAGAGAATTACAAGTGTTATAATTGACTTTTACTGTACTGGTTTCCAACAAGGTCATTTGCAAATAGGCAATTTCCTTCCCTAACATTTCCACTAATTTTGTAGATATGAGACAGAACAAGTCTCAGTTGAGAGAACCAATTGTTTCCAGCTCCTTCATTAATGCCTACCATCTATTAAATATGAAAAACAATACACACATTTTAATTTTTTAAGACTTTATATATGGCAACTTAAAAGGGCAGAAAATGGAGCAGAACAGCATGCACTCCCTTCATTTCTTCAGAGAAATACAGAATTATAAATCAAGTCTATCCCATTAAATATTCTGACTTGGATAGCTAGTGGCAGAACAAAGCATCCAACGATACTGTAAGGTTGTCATTAGCTTCTGTTCCTCTTTTCAAAGAGGGAGGCCATCAACACCACAAACCTGAGAATAATAACCACTTTGCTTTTTTCTAAAATGGCCATAGAAAATGGCTTAAGATTTCAAGTAGAAAATGAGTACTTCCAATTCATACCTCAGTGAACTAAATAAAGTATGTTACTATTGATAAAAAGTACAAAAACTGTTTAAAAATACCGAAATGGTACAATTTCTTTTTAAACTGTAAAAATCATTGTTTAAAAAAACCATAAAATGTGTTCTTGCATGCAGTTGTGTCATGTCCCTTTTGTTCAGTTCTAGGAAAGAAACAGGAGAGAGTGAGTTAGTTATATCCACCACAACATTAAGAAAATGGTTTCTCTTCAGGTATTTTCTAAACAGAAGCTAGCCAAGAATGTATCAAGACAGACTGAAAATCAGCACAAGATTGCATGTTCTGTCCCCTGTAAGATCCAATATATTGTAGATTCTTGCATTTAGAGATCACACAATAGACAGAGACAACTGCATTTTAGCTAGGACATTGTGCAAACCCAGTTTATGTGGTGAGAGCATAGTTCATTGTGTGGAATCAACTGAATAAATTATAGCTAATCCGAATTAAGCATGTTAAATAACATGACGTTTGTGCTTTACTCCCTGATCTAGCTGCTAATACAACAGTGTATCTAAGAGGTTTTGCATAAAATGTTAATTCTTGGCAAATTCAAGACATGTTTTAGGCTATTTAAGATACCACTAATGGCTACAGAATTAGCCTTTTAAAAAAGCAATAATTGAATTTCAGGGATGGGGAACTACTTGCTGGCCTCCAAGAGCTCTCCTGGGGGCAGCATAACAGTAGTGGATAAAGACAGAACCCCTGGGCAGCTACCACTTCCAGGCCTTCCCAGACCTTGGAGCTAAGAAACACTTTCCTGCCTTTCGGCTTTCCCAGCAGGAGCAAAACTGCAGGGGACATTTCCCATACTACCTTTTCAGCATCAGGTTCTAAGGATTTAAATTAGCAACCTTGGAAGGGGCACGAGAATCCCTCTTATAAATGCATTAAATCACCGTTCCTCAAACTTGGCAACTTTAAGACTTCTGGACTTCAACTCCCAGAATTCCCCAGCCAGCCATCTTCTCTGATTTGGAGATAAACTTAACTAGAAAGCAATGGTCGGATTTTATCTGTAATCACCTCAGGTGCCAGATTGTTCACATAATCGTGGAGGTTGTGGTTGATATAGTTCACTGTTGTGTTGAACACCTGCTGCAGGAAGGCAGGGACTATATTGGCTACTTTCTTGGCCAAAACCATTGCTGCCAATAACATGGCTTTCTCCTGTTCCATTTCCCGAGGCATCGTTCTCATGACTGCCTGTACTGCTTGAGACAGATGCTGGGTGACCTCCTACAGAAACAGAAGAACAAACCTCTCTCTCAGTTGCTGCCCTTCTGGGGCCTTTAACGCTAATCCAGCCAGATACTAGATTTTTCTCCTGAAAGTGGTAACAGTACAATTAAAAATAAAATGTAAGTTAATTAATGGTCACTGTTAATTATAAGGGAACCCTTTATAGTTTCAATTATGCACAAGTATAACAACATTCAGTTACTAATCATGGTTAATTGCATCACGCTTCTGACTTCCGGTTCCCAGGATATGTGGATGGGAGGGAGCCATTTATCCTCATGTCCACACTGGGCTTTTATGTCTCCTGTCCCTTTTTTTCCCCTAAAATTGTCAGCTAAGGAGATACTTCCAAGATCCCCCAAATTCAACTTCTGTTTTTAGCTGTATTCAGCAGCAGAACTGCACTCCAAATCCATTCTTCAACTAAGCTGATTATCAGAACACCAAGCAAGTCCCAATTACCTAATGCCATTTACTAAGTGCCCCCATGAGGTAATTGGAAGGAAATGTCATGGCTGACAAAGAGAACAACTCTAAAAGAAATCTCACAAATTCAGGAGTTGCTTTATCATTAAAGTAGTCCAGTGCGATCTTATTAATCCCTCGGTTTCTTCCTTTCTCACCTGGCTGGACACATTCTCCATCATGAATTGTTGTGCCAGACTGTTCACAAATGAGGGCTCAATCTCAGCAGCTATTTTATCCCCAAGTACAGCCAACTGTGCTCCTATATTCCGGAAAATGTCCTCATTGGCCACTGAATTTAAATTCATGAACAAAAAAGACAAAGAACAAATTGGCTTTCAAGCATGCAAAAAGATTGTACAACCTAGATCATGTTACAAAGTAGCCTAACATTGGAACACTGGATTTAGGACAAGACCTGATTCTGCATATGATTTCTATGACTATATTTACTTTTCTGATTTGCTCAAAGCAGAATACACAGAGATGTTTTAAGCCCATCCCAGCTTTAAACTAGGCATTAGAATGAAATTCATTGATGCTTTGCATTAACTAAAGACTCTCAGACATTAATGAGTAAATTAAATTGTAGTGAAGGACAACCTAATGAGAATGCTTAATTAGATAACTTATTTTTAATTCATTTTAGGAGACAAATGGGTTGTAGTGCTATCCTTCCCAAAAATAGGTGTCTTCCAGTTGTGGTGAACTCTAACTCCCAGCCATAACAGGGAAACAAGCATTTAGTCCATCACATTTGGAAGCCACCATTTTAGAAGCAGCTTCAAGTATTTAATTAGGTAAGGAGGGAATTCAAGACATCTGCAGAAATATATTGCAATATTAGGCTATAAAAGGCTGTTCCATGAGACCATCTTCCACACTGAGAAGCAGGAGATTGTAACTGATCAGAGTTCCAGTTCAGCAATCATACAAGTAATATCAATGCAAAGAGCTTCTGTGAGCATGGATGCATGTACAGAGAGCTGCTTATCCTAGAAACCTGTTTATTTCTGCTCTAACAATTGACAATATAGTCTCTCCAAACAGAGGTTTGTTCACTTCACTCCAAAATGCTGCCCACTCTCCAGAAATTGCAAAAGTTCAACATTTGGGGGGTAGCTTGAAATTTCATAATTTCATTTGATAATTTTGGCAGGATTTCATCATTTGGAAGAGCCTAACAAGATTGCTGACCATGTGGTAGCAAAAAGTCCACTGTTATTCACAATGAAAGTTGGGACACTAAGAACCTTGATTACCGAGAGATCTGTCCTCTGGGTGCCCAAAACTATTGCCATCAGTCTGAAGCTCTCCATCATCAAATGCACTAGAAAACTGCTTTGGTGCTAACAACTGGTTTTTCAAAGTAGAAAGCTTGGAAGCAAAAGCAATGTCAGAGGAGCTTTCCAGGAAAGAGAAGAGAACGACACAGACGACTCCTGTATCACCATAATGGTCAGCCTGTTGGGGGAGACACAAAACATTCCATTTCATGCTAATTCTAAATTCTGGAAAATATTTATGCAAACAGGCAGAATGTGCAGGTCCTACATGATAGGATGAAGAGCAGTAATATACTTATAATGATAGTTCTGAAGTAGTTTACCCCCTGCCAAAAAAAAAAAAAAGCATTAATAACTCCATTTCCCCCACTCTCACATCCAGCTGCCATTTAATTCATTGTTTCATAGCCACTGAATATACTCCATCTTCACTCAACTGGCTCCTAGAGGGAAGTGATGTTCTCCTGTTAGCACCACTAACAGTTTGAGCATTGAAAGTAAAGGAAATGGTGAAAGTTTTTTTTAAAGAGAACTCTTCCTGAATAAACAATAAGCATTTAATCAAAAAGTCAAACCACATGATATTTGTTAATAATTTTGAATCCAACCTGATTCATTGTAGCTGCTGAAACCAGGCAGGTGGATTATCTTTGATTTTCAGAAGCCGTATAACATCTATCTGGAAAAGGAATTATAAATAAAAAGTATTATTATGAAAATGCTGATAAGGGGACATGTTTCCACAAATTATGAAAGAAAAAGGGACAGAACCTATTAGGTAATGGTAGTAATCCAAATCTATCTTCAGGTCCGATTATTGGCTCTATACAGGAGCATATGATTTACCAGAAAGGTGAAGGAGTTACCTAAAGCAAATACTTTGCATATACATGAAGTACTTAAAAAATGAGTGGAGATTAAGTTACACTTGACTTTTTGGGCCATACCCTGAGAATACCCCAATGGGCAAATAAGTAGAAAGTGGCTTAAAAGAAACCATCTCCTCTTTGAAACCCCCAAATGAGGGTAAGAAGTGAAGATTAAGTGACGGTCTCTTCCCATATTTACCCACCTAGTCTTCTAGGCTCTCTTCCAAGTCTTCCACTTAAAAGTGATCTACAATTACCTCTGAAAAGATGGTTTTAAACAGTGCCATCTGCAGAATGCTGCCTCTGGAAAAGCTTACCTGGCTTTCATGTGTCTCTTAAATTTTTATTAGCTTGAGGGGCCAAAGCTCTCTCCAAGAGGTTGCCTTTTCTCCCTCTCAAGATTATCAGCCATAAAGAGTGTTTGCATGGAGCTTCCTCTCTTCTCATCCAGAATGGGCTGTTAGAACTTTGAACATAAGGGCAAAGACAGTTTTCTTCCTCCTACCCCCCCAATTCACTTTTCATTTTGTGTTACCTACAAGCAATACTGACCAAATGCTTTCACTAAAGTTTCAAGAGTGACCAAAATGCTTTAAAACAACAGCTGACCAAATATAAGCCTTTCTCCAGTGCCAAAACCTCTGAAACAGTTCAAAGTAGACAAGCAGAAAATAGTTCAAGATTTGCCTAACAGACCTACTCTCAATTCCATTTATCTCCCTCTTACTGTCTTCACCAAAGGTATCCTGGAAGCACCATTCAGATATTTTAGGTGTAGGCAGTAACATGTAGATGAACAGAATGTTTATCTGTTCTCCTACCAATTACATCTCTATAAAAACAGAAGACAACCTTATGGAGCGGGGCGATGACAACCTGGTCAGAAGATTTCCCTCAACAGCCAAGGAAGCCTATGGAGTGATGGGAATCACAGAAAGATGACGGGCAGAGGAAGGATCTGCTGACCGGCCCAAATGCTCCAAGCCTGAGGAAGCCTCCTGCTTTGGCCCAAGGAAGGGCTAGAGACAGTCCATCTATTTTCAGTTAACGTTCAAAGTTTAAAAAGAAAATCAAAGTGATATGGTCCATAAGAAATCTTTTGGTGGTAAAAAGCTGAGCTGAGCCAAGCCAGTAAGCTGGGGTAGAAATCTGTTAACCCGTTCTTTTCTGGAAAAAAAATCTTTGTGCATTATTTTGAACTGTAAAAACAAGCATAAAAAAGGAAACTTTTTTCAGGTTTGTTACTTCTAGGAATGATACATATATAATGAATACAGTTTTTTTCATCTCCTACAGTTACTGGATTAACAGGTCTCATACAATACACCCTTTTTTCCCCTAAAACCAAATAACACAATGAATGTCATGCTTTTCCAATTATACTCTAAACTGTAAAATGTTTCTCTAAAATGTTAATATAATGCTGTTAATTTGTTTAGATGTGTCCATTTAAAATGCAGTCTTACATAGGTTGACATAGGCTCAGTTCATATGCTCAATCTGGCTAATTTTCAGGCAAGGGTGTGCAAGATTACAGCCTCTCACATTTTCCCCTCATCAAGTATAGTTGCAAGAAAAAGTATGTGAACCTTTTGGAATTTCATGGTGTTCTGCATTAATTTGTCATAAAATATGATCTGACCATCATCTAAGTCAAGAGTATTGACAAATAGAATGTGCCTAAAATAATAACACAAAAACAATTCTGATCTTTCATGTCTTTATTGAGAACAACCATAAAAACCTCATAGTGCTAGTGGAAAAAGTATGTGAACCTTTTGGAATTTCATGGTGTTCTGCATTAATTTGTCATAAAATATGATCTGACCATCATCTAAGTCAAGAGTATTGACAAATAGAATGTGCCTAAAATAATAACACAAAAACAATTCTGATCTTTCATGTCTTTATTGAGAACAACCATAAAAACCTCATAGTGCTAGTGGAAAAAGTATGTGAACCCTTGAGTTGACCTCAAAAATGCTAATTGGAGTCAGGTGTTAGCATACCTGGAGTCTTGTTAAGAAAATTAATTTGGAGGTGTGGACTAGAGCTATGTTGACTGATAAAAACCAGTCAAACTTTTTGAGTTTGCTCCGCACAAGAAGAATACCATAAAAACCTCATAGTGCTAGTGGAAAAAGTATGTGAACCCTTGAGTTGACCTCAAAAATGCTAATTGGAGTCAGGTGTTAGCATACCTGGAGTCTTGTTAAGAAAATTAATTTGGAGGTGTGGACTAGAGCTATGTTGACTGATAAAAACCAGTCAAACTTTTTGAGTTTGCTCTGCACAAGAAGAATATACTTATGTGAGCCATGCCTCACCAAAAAGAACTTTCAGAGGATCTAC